TCGTGTAACAGCAAAATTGTCCAATTGTTAGATGAAGCTTTGAACTGTTGTAGCTTAGAAATGATTAAAGATATCTTACTGGAATTCTCCGTGTTTTTATAACACTTTTGAACACTACTTTGAGCGATATGAATGTATAATAACTCTCCAATCTTAATCAAATCGAAATCGAACATAAACGAAAATGACATGTTCATCATTAATTAATCATAGCTAAAGATCGGAAGCCCATGAAGGATGGAAATAAAGTTCACACACACACACACACACACACACACACACACACACACACACACATATATATATATATATATATGTGTGTGTGTGTGTGTGTGTTATTGCAGGATCATTTTCGAACTTAATCAACTGAGATTATCATAGGCTAAACATGTAAGCAACGAGGAAGTTTTCAATTGAATTTCGGTTTCTTGAAAGTGAGCACGTAGAGAAATGATCGAGGCTTATAGGCGGAAACTCCCGCAGTTGCGCTTCTACTTAACGTCGTCGAATTTTATGTACACTTTACTTCCAAACACTGCAACGGAACTTTTGTGACGTACGATGGCCGTTAATGATTAAGTATAACTAAAGACTTCAATGTTACAATCGCAAATAAATACTTGACAAGAACAAAGAACTAAAAGTCAACCAAAGATAATTAACCATTTCAGTGAATACCTTGTTAGTAGCGAGGCGAGGCTTAACGTCCGGTAAATCCTACGTCAAAACCCAAATCATCGAGGCACAATAATTCACACTAATTCGACTGGATAGTTCCACTCTACAGTCATTCAATAATCACTGCAGTCAGTAGCCTGACACCCCTATTTATACACCGGCTGGAAAACATATATTCATAAGTCCAGAGTGTCAAGCTCGAAACTCAGTGTCGGTAGTTACTCATTTTCTCCCTATATGACATCTTCTGAATATAATTAATATACGCATTCAATGGTACTAAAATCAATTTCTCAAAATTTTATTAAATTTAATAAGCGCGGGTAACAGATGTATTTGGTTAAAAACAGTTGTACAAGCCATGTTACTGATGTAATTTCTGAGGTGTTGACGACCACACTCTACACACTTTCCTTCTAAGCACAGCTATAAAGAACGGAAGTGAGCGAAAACGTTATAACCTAGTGCGTATGAACGAATTAAAGATTTCTCTGATCCAAACGGCTTCACTCTGCGTACATTTGCTCCGTTACCATAGCAACAGCCAGGATAGTTTTTGTACAGACCCCATATGTTAATTTACATAAGTGTACACAAATTAAAAATAATTTGATTTTAATTTTTTTAAATTGATTTTGACTGTTAATTTAATTTAATTTTGATTTTAGATTTTATCGTAATATATTTCACCCAAAAGTAATACGTAGACAGTTGGTTTTGTAAATGTTAAATCAAAACCCAAATCATCGACGCACAATAATAATTGGATAATTCCAATCAATAGTCACTCAATAATCACTGCAATCAGTAGCCTGACACCGCTATTTATACATCTGGCCGAAAAACATATATTTATAAGTCCAGAGTGTCACGCTCGAACCTCAGTGTCGGTAGTTACTCATTTTCTTTCTATATGACAGGAAGTGAGCGGGAACGTTATAAACAAGTGGATTTGTATGTACGAATTTGAGGTTTACTGATGAGATCTCTGTGGTGTGGTGAGACGGCCACACTCTACACACTTTCCTTCCAAGCACTGCGATAAGCAACGGAAGTGAGAGACAACGTTATAACTTAGTGTATACACACGAGCTCTAGGTTTATCTTCACCAAGCGGCTTCACTCTCCGTACTTTACCTCCGTTACCATAGCAACAGTCATGATAGTTTTGTACAGACCTCTTATCTTAATTTACAAAAGTTCATATAAATTAAAATTAATTTGATTTTTATTATTATTATTATTATTATTATTATTATTATTATTATTATTAATTTTGACTGTTAATTTAATTTCATTTTGATTTCAGATGATTTTTATCGCAACATATTCGAACTGTCAACCACCGGTGATACGTAAGACGGTTTGTTTTGTAAATTATAAAGAATTCTTTCCCGCTAAGATGTGTGATAAAAATGCAACTAAAATCATGATTAAAGTAAATTGCTAGTCAAAATAGAAAATAATGGCCGACATTGCTTCATGTAAAAATTAAATTAAAATATATTTGTGATCGTTTTTTGAACTAGAACTATTAAAGACGATAAACTCCTTGCTGTTGGCTGAATATTTAATTATCTGGGCGGTTTCAAAGCAGACGACAGAAGCCGTAGACACAGATCGGAAGAGGTGAAGAAAAAACAAAAGAGGTCTTTTCAAAACGCTAAGCATTAAGAGGAAGCAATATTTCTTTATTACTGAATCATCTATCCACCTGTACGTTAGTGAGTACGAGACAATTTCCTCACAGAGGTAGAAGAGGCTCGAAGATGGATGTTGAGGTGAACATGGGCTAAACATGTGAGCAGCGAGGAGGTTTTCATGTGAATTTCGGTTAGAGGATTGATCGTGTTTCTACACGATAACTTCCACAGTGGAATACATCAATTTTACATGGTCGAATTTTATGGGTGTTGTAGAGATGATAGTCGACACAGAAAGGAACATACATGAGTAAAGGAAAGCGAGAAGAAAGGACTAAAGGTCAAGTGTAAGAAAATAAAATGTATGGTTGTTAGCAAAAGGGGCAGCCCAACATTCGAATTACAGATTGGAGATGCCAAAATGAAAAAAGTACAAATTTTGTACAGAGGCTAAGCAAAGCATTAAGATGTAGGAATATTTCTTTATTTAATCGTCTATCCATCTGTACGCTAGTGAGTATGACACAATTTCCTCACGGAAGAAGAAGAGCCTCGAAGCGTCAGTGATGTGACTCTAGAGACGGATGCTGAGGTTAACATGGATTAAACACGTGAGCGACGAGGAGGTTTTCAGGTAAATTTCGATTTTTTGAAAAGGTGCAGGTAGAGGATGGATCGATGATTAGACGAGGAATCTCCCACAGGTGCACAAGTTGAAACACACCGAATTTACGTGGTCGAATTTCATGGATTATTGGTGTCGTAGTGCTGATAGCAGACACAGAAAGGAAAACACATGAACTCCCACGGAAGGTAGTATAGGAAAGTAAGAAGAAAGGACTAAACATCATTTGCAAGAAGACAGAATGTATGGTCGTCGGCAAAAAGAACAGCTCAACCTGCTAATTACAAATTGGGGATGTCAAAATCAACCAAGTACAACAAATGTAAATATGTAAGATGTGTTTCTAACGGGGGATGGAAGATGTGTCACCGGAATCCGAACGTGCATGAGGATAGCAAAAGATGCCTTTCAAAAGCTAAGCAAAGCATTAAGAAACAGAAAAATCTCGTTAGAAAATTAAAATTGGGTATTTAATTGTAATATAATATCGGTCCTCCGTCTACCCAATTTCACTCACTTGTGCTAGCCCGAAGTCACAAGTCATCGTGACCGAGGGGTTGAGCGTGCTAGCCTTGTTCAGTCTGTTAATCACGCTGACTTGATACGAGTGGTCAGCCACTATATATATATATATGAAAGGTATTAATCCCCTTCCTTTCCCTCCAGCTATGGGTAAAATAGCAGGACAGACTGGGTTCTATAACCTTGGATGGCAACCGGTCTAGAAGAAGGACAACTTTGAATTCAAAACCTGCAGAGGGTCGTTTGGGAACCTTGTGGCATTCGGTGCACCAGGTCTCTGTATTCGTCCCTTCAAAAAGTGTGGATGGTCCTGCACGAGACCTTCACCACTATAATCAAATCTCATGTGCCGGTGTCGGGCTGTCGGTTTCTGAACTGATCTGCTTGACCCTCATACGTCGAATCTCGACGGGAGAGTCAATATATATATATATATATATATATATATATATATGTCCGTGTGTGTGTGTGTGTGTGTGTGTGTGTGTGTGTGTGTGTGTGTGTGTGTGATGGGCACGTGTCCGAGTGGCTAGAACGTTTGCTTACTGACCAGGGTTGATTTGTTAAAGTCTTGATGTCATCAGGCTGGATGTTCTGGAGGGGGCTATCCCACCGTGTATTTATAAATGTGCAAGTTGGATCCTGACAAGAAATATTTTCTGGCAAGGCACTGAAACAGTTTCCATTGCAGTAGACGAAGCAATTAATTCCCTATAGTCGCTCCACTTCATGTCAGATGAAAACGTGAGGCCAAGAAGATGTAGCCTTCTGCTTTCTTGTGGTTGAACCTCAGCCATACTGAATGAAGTGAAATTGTTTTTTCTCGGAATAGTTTCATGGCAGCGGTTGTAATTGGCTTTCATTCTTGGTATATCAAACTGCATAGATTTAACCATACAACTAGATTGGTAAATAGGTTTAATCATTTTACTGTTGTAGATTCAACCGCCATATTCTAATAGTTTATTTTCTCGCGCCTATGGAACTCACTCCCGATTTCTTTCTTCCTTGCGACCTACAATCTTCAAAACTTTATATACAACTTCAATCGCTGTCTTCTGTCATCTTGAATCTTCTTTTATTGTCTTTTCTTTTGCTGTCTTCTTATTTTCTTTCACTCTTAGTAACCCTGGCGTCTTAGTGGCATTATCGCCTAGCTTAGAGTTGATATGATTAAAAAAATATATGTGTGTATTTTAAATGTAATGGCAATATTGACTTTTTCCTTATGTGGAAACATTCATCCTTTATTGACGGAGAAACAATTGCTATTGTTGGTTGAAATTTATTTAAACCTTGCTATTAAAGCAATTTTGTAAGGATAATGGAAGCGTTGTCCAAGCTTAGATGTTTCTATCAGAGCAATTAGTAGAATAATTCGCTGCAAGTCTCTTTTGCTCTTTGATCAAATATCCAACATTAAAAATGGCAACATGATGGCGGTCCATTCAGTTAACAGTTTCTAATTAAGGTTGTTCCGGCGAAAGAACAAAAAAAATGGAGGCGAGGGCTTTTTCAGTTTTTCTTTATTGCTAAGGTTTTTCCGATAACTAGGGGTTTGATGTTAGTTCTAACGTTTCTGCTCATATCTACTTCGTTTGTGTCATTTTTTTTTCTGGAATAAAAAAGAAATTCTACTGTTTTTTTTTTTATTTTATTATATTTTTTTATTTCTTTTCTTTTTTTCGTTTCTTTTCTTTATATGTCCCCCTCTTATTTTTCTCTTTTCTTTTACCCTTTTGCCATTCTTTCTTTCTTCTTTTATACACATTCGTCTATTTTTTCGTTATTTCTTCTATTCTGACTTTCAGGTCACGTACTTCCGATAGATAGATAGATAGATAGATAGATAGATAGATAGATAGATCATCTTGTTAAGTCTCAGAAATGATAGATAGATAGATAGATAGATAGATAGATAGATAGATAGATATCATCATCCTGTTAAGTCTCAGAAACGTTTGATAGAGAGATAGATATGAAGAGACATAGATAGATAGATAGATAGATAGATAGATAGATAGATAGATAGATAGATCATCTTGTTAAGTCTCAGAAATGATAGATAGATAGATAGATAGATAGATAGATAGATAGATAGATAGATCATCTTGTTAAGTCTCAGAAATGATAGATAGATAGATAGATAGATAGATAGATAGATAGATAGATAGATAGATAGATAGATAGATAGATATCATCATCCTGTTAAGTCTCAGAAACGTTTGATAGATAGAGAGATAGATATGAAGAGACATAGATAGATAGATAGATAGATAGATAGATAGATAGATCATCTTGATAAGTCTCAGAAATGATAGATAGATAGATAGATAGATAGATAGATAGATAATTGTTGAGACACGATTTCAAGTAACGCCATCGCTTAATTTATTTTGAAATATGGACATCGCGGATATGACTTTTTATTCCTGCTACAGTCTTAAATTGTTTTGCACAGATGAGGCAACGTAGCGTATCTCTTGCAGTTATTGTTATGTTCATATTTTTCTCAACCTTCAACGAGTGGCATCTTTGATGACTTTTTAGGCTTTCCCAAATTAGACACAAGTGACCATATTCATTACACATTCTGTAAAATTTCTCAGAGAATTTAACATAAAGACCCTTATGAACATCCCTCTTGAGATTTTCATGCTAAACCCGAAAACCTAAAAGATTTCGGATAAAACATAAATCCATAAATTCACCTTGTTTCAACACTTCTGGTGTCTTATCAAGTGATGGTGTTGAATGTAGAATAAACAGTTTTAAAAGTTTTATATTTTACTCTTTTAAGAAGAGCATTTTTGGTTATTGGAATTTATTCTATATATACCAACCGTATACTATATATATATATATATATATATATATATATATATATATATATATATGTGTGTGTGTGTGTGTGTGTGTGTGTATATATATATATATATTATATATATGAAGAAATATGGTTTTAAGGTGTGATATATTTATGGGATGAAGTGCTCAATATCAGAGATATAGAGTATGTAAATATAAATATAAAAGTGAACATTGAAGTCAACACTCAGAGGCGACAGACTTTCATGCTAGACACAATCGTCAGGCTACCATTGTCGTCTAAATGGCGCAAAAATGGACATAGCACTGATGTCTCGTTTTAACAGATTTGCCAGGTGCGATGGATAAATTGTCGTCTAAATGACGCGAAAATGAAAATAACAGTGACGTTGCATTTTAACAGACATGCGGGGTGCGATGGATAAATTGTCGTCTAAATGCCATAAAAATGAAACTAGTGCTGACATCTCATTTTAGCAGATATACAGGGTGCGATAGATAAATTGTCGTCTAAATGACGCAAAGGGGAAAATAATACTGGCATCTCATTTTATCAAATATATTTACCAAAATTATACAAAGTTTTCTTGAAATAAAATTGCCATTAGCTTTACCCACGGCCTCCAGACGACTTCGGAATCTTCTGCAACTCTTCTTGACAGTCTTGGTGAATGCTGCCATAGTTCTTGCTTTCAGTTCATCTTTGGTGTTACTAGGAGTTTTTTTTTTGTCTCTTGCTCAACTGCGTCCCAGACATAATAATCAAAGGGGTTGCAATCTGAGCAGTTAGGTAGCCAGATGTAAGAGGTGATGTGGTTGCAGAAATTGTCTGATAGACATGACTGGTTTCTCCTGCTTGTGTGGTATGGTGTATTCCTGTTGCCGGACCTTGGGTCTTCTAGCAGCCACCCTCTTGACCCAGAGCAGCACTACCTCCTCCGTGTTGAGTCTGAGGCCCTGTGGGAAGATAAATGGAGGAATGGCGTTACCATCACTAGTGATCACTTCAAACACATTCGTAATCACCATTAGACTCATCCAACTCTTTCCAAATCCTCTGCACTGTCCTCAGATTGACACCCAGACACTCTGAAATGTTCGTATTGGAGCTTCCGGAGCGAATGCCAAGCTGTACAGCATGCCGTTTACAAATTTCTGGCTGAATGAATTACGTTATCATGCTCTTTTTCTTACAGACGGTGACCGAATGATCCTACTATAGTGTGCAGTCGATAAAATCGAAAACCAACAAATTCTGCTCTTGGTGATAGGTAAATTTTATCATGGTAAAATATTTATCGTTAAAAAAAAACTCTTTTTAGATACTCAAACCAATTGGGAATCAAATGTGCCATAACTTTGTGTCATTTAGCAAGTAACATTCTTAATGGAACGTGACCTTTGAAAGCACCTTTATACATCGAACGGGTTAAAAGTAAGGATTCTTAATCTCTACGTAAATCTGAAGGCAGAAATGCAATGAAAAATGTCTCAGCGAAAAAAAAAAATTCAAAAGAACTACGTAACTGTGGCTTTATTTGATCTGCTTGTCAAACGATAATGACCGCCATTAACTTTGTTCCAAGAGGCGCAGCTGGATAGAAGCCAGCGACAATAACTCTGCTCTTCCTTTCTTTTTCTTTCTTTCTTTCTTTCTTTTTGCCAAATACTCTGCACATGCGCACCGCCTTTCTAGCATATCTGCTTATCATATTGATAAATTACAAGGAAAACTGGAAACAGTAACAACTAAACGCCTACTTTTTTACGTCACCATTGCACAGCTGAGACCATTTTTTTGTTTTTTAAGCATTTGGGGACATCTCTTTAGTGTTCACGTTGTAGATACTGGCTACTGAGAATTAATATTAGAACAAAATTGTGGCATTCGAAGAGAAGATAATTTATTCTTCTGTTCATCATTTGGTGTCGCTAAGTCTAGTCGTTGTACGGCGTCACAATCCATGAAAAAAAATAAAACGGCTTCAGCGACAACCTGCTAAACTTCCCTGACAAAGAAATATGAATGTCATATTCATAAATATTAAAACTTCAAATGCGTCGGTGAATGAATACGTTTCCCACATTAGGGAACGGTTAATAATAACATTAGCATAGATCATAAAACAGCGGAAACATCCACCCCCTGTTTTACTCATTATATAATGCGCTGCTAACCAAAATGAATATCTATGAATTCTCAGATTATATAGAACTCCGAAGTTACTCTGATTGGAAGGACTTGTAATTAACGCATTACATGGTGTGTTCCAACAAATGAAAACCACAATTAATGGTGGATATAAAGCTTAAATCTAAAACCTGGACACATCGGATATCACATTAACTATATTTTCTTTAACCTCCACAGATTAAACATGGTTTTGAAAGAAGAAAGAACTGACTTATTTTTCTGGGCTAAGCTTGAGGAGATAGTGTACTAAATGAAAATCACAGATGCAACACACTTGTTTGAACACATAAAGAGTGACTGTGCTAAAATTGAAGGCAATGTGCATTTATTGCATCGAGTTCACGCGAATCTTGCAAAGCGCATCACGCTTCGCGTCACAAAGGATGGAAATCATATTGAAGATGTTAAATTGTTAATATTCTAATTCAATAAAATGCCTTGGGTGTCCAGACTTTAGGGACCTCCTGTATAAGAATGGCATACATATTTATGATTTAATCAATTCGCCTCAAGCAAGACGAAAATACCACTACGACGCAAGGGAGCTATTGAGCGTGAAAGAGAATGAAAAGACTGTACCGGAACCGGAAACCCAATCCTAAACGCGAAACAAAGTATATACTTCTGTCCAATAGACATGGAAGGAGTGTCAATCGCGAATCGCCCTGTTCATACTCCTTTCCCGTGTTTTGAACAAGAGTGTAGGTTTATCCTTTGTTTCCTGTTTAAGTTTGGGTTTTCGGATTCTGCTAAAGTCTTCTCATTATCTCTCATTCAAATGCGTCTTAGTGGCATTATCGCCTTGCTTGAGGTGAATTGATTAAAAAATATATGTAAGTCATTCTCATAGATCATATAATTTGTGGTTTTCATGTGACTGAAAAAAACAGGTGATGCGTTAATTACAAGTTCTTCCAATCAAAATAACATCAGAGTTCTATATATTCTAAGAATCCATAGATATTCATTTTGATTCGCTGCGCATTATATAATGAGTAAAACAGGGGGTGGATTTTTCCGATGTTTTAGAATCTATAGTAACCATTACCTAATGTAGGAAACCTATTCATTCACCGAGGTATTTTAAGTTTTAATATTTATGAATAAGTTTAGCAGGTTGACGGTGAAGCCGTTTTTTGTTCATGGATAGTGGCGCTGTACAACGACTAGACTTAGCAACACTAAACGATGAACAGAGTAGGTAGTCATTTTTTCTGCGAGGAACAGATATATAATTTTGACCAGAGGCAGTTTTTTGTTCCCCAGTACTTCTTTTGAGCAACTTTGACGTCTTTGTGCTCTGTCTTCTGTAGAACCCTTACGACTTGACTAGAATTCAAACAATTTGGCAAACGATGCTCAGTATACAAAGGGTTAAAACATGAGAACTTGGAACAAAAAGGTCAAAGTGTATATTCAAAAATGGTAATGCTATATTAGGGTTCAGTTTGTTTAGAGTTGTTTAAATTGTGATAAGCGAAATAACTCTAAAGAAACTATTAAAACTTAAAATACCTCGGTAAATGTATAGGTTTCCTACATTAGGTAATGGTTAATATTACCATTACTATAGATTCTAAAACATCGGAAAATCCCCCCCCTGTTTTACTCATTATATAATGCGCAGAGTTATTTCGCTTATCACTATTTACATTGTTTGGGCTGTTTTCGCCATCTTTTTTACCAAATTTACCTCGTTTCGGCCGTTGTACTCTGCGGCCCTCTTCAGTATCTGCTTATATTTCAGAGATGAGGTATTGTAACTGTTTACACTGTTTCCATTGTGCGGACTGTTGTCCTCATCTTTATTGTTATATTTACGACGTTTCGGCCGTTGTGCGCTGCGGCCTTCTTCAGTTGATATGCGTTTGAATTTCGAACCAAACTCTTTATTTCTTCCACTGGGGTAAATTGTTCTAATTCCACGTGCCATGCCTTTTCTGGATATCTCAGTTTGAGTTATTTTCTTTCAATAGCTCTACTCTGCAAGTTTTTTTTGTTCACCTCTGCTCTGGTCAGGTATTGAACTCACAACTCTATGGGTCAAGTAACAGCTCAGTGGATAAAAGCGTTGGTTAAAGTAATCCAGTTACTTGACAATAAAAATAAGGACAACAGTTCAAACAATTTATATAATGTAAATAGTTAAAATACCTCCTCTCAGAAATAGAGACAGATGTTGAAGATGAATATGGCAATAAAGGTGAGGACAACACCCCGAACAATGTAAATAGTGTAAATAGTCATAATACCTCATCTCAGATATAGAGACAGATCCTGAAGAAGACTGGACAGTACAATGGCCGGAGCGAAGTGAATTTGGCAATAAAGATGAGGACAACACTCCGAACAATGCAAATAGTTACAATGCCTCATCTCAGAAATATAGTTAGATATCGCTTATGCTTGTTTCTTCCCGTCTCTCTCTCTCTCTCTCTCTCTCTCTCTCTCTGAAATATATATATATATATATATATATATATATATATATATATATATATATATATATATGAAACTGGATCTCCAACTCACACAGTACCCTGAGTTATATGAATGACTTCTTTTCAACTGACTTTCGATACTGCCAAAAAGAGAGTATCATATCTGGTCAAGTAGTGTAAAACACTTCGATAATGTTTATCATTATTATTTGATCAGATAGCCTCTCCGACTCTTGGATATTTCGGCCAGTTGATGAGGGTCATAACCACAACTCCTACCCGCAGATACAACGCTTTCCCCAGCCGGAGAACGGTGCTGCAGAAACGTTCCTGTTGACCATGTTCTCCATAGTCTATAAATATAGAATACAGCGCAGTACATAATCTGTTCAATGAAACAACGTTAAAGATTAATACTCTCGAGTCAGATATTTTACTGGATCTGACTATATCGCAAATACCACCAGCAGCTGTTCCGTAATTCTTCAGTCTTCGATATCAAAGGCTGGCAGTGAATATTCGGAAAAAAACATGGCCGCCTTTATACACGTCGCATCGAATATTTTGAGACTTCTGATTGGTTAACCCTTCTATTGGTGAACTATAAAATGAGTCAGCTCATTTTGGCTGGCTCACTAGTACCAAGGTACCCAAAAATTCTAACCCCCTCCCCATTTTCTAAAATTCTAACCGTTCCTTAGTTCTGAAATTGGCCAACCATGAAAGCTACTTTAGCTACTGCTTGGAACATTTCTACAATTTGCCCTGGCGTGATTTTCCTACTTTCACGAGGTTTTTCGCTCAAGGTAATATAACTTTCATCGGGATACATTCGTAGCTTCCCCTGTGCAGAAATGAGATATCAGGGCGATTTCTCTCCAGGTTGCTTGTCAGTTAAGATAAAAGTACACAGCATGAGCATCACTTGCTAATTCTTGATTACTGGTGGTGTTGAATGCTCGTAATGATCTTGTTCATATTTCCTGCATAATCCCCAATGAATTCTGGGAGATGCTTGTATACGAAGCTCAGTAAATCATTATGCCAACCAGTGTAATAAGTATATACAATAAAAGATTCAACAAAACCATGTTTAATCTGTGGAGGTAAAAAAATATAGTTAATGAGATTTGTGTCCAGATTTCAAAGATAACCACTATATTTACCATTATTTGTGGCTTTCATCTGTGAGACCCCACCATGTAACGGGTTAATTATAAGTGCTTGCAAGTAGAGTATCTTCAGAGTTCTATATATTCTGAGAATCCATAGAATTTTATTTTGATTAGCAGCGCATAACCTTTTAGATAGGACTCACGCAAGGGTAATCAGTTCTCTAATTGAATGAATTCCTAAATGTCTAGATGCTATTCCCAAGTTGCCATGGCTGCTGCATGAAACTTTTTTTTAATTCGATACCCGAGTATAATGCTTCACATAACTCCCACTCATAAACAGATATGAACAATATATCAGCAACTAGGTGACATGCCCAAATGCTTATGGTCTGGTAACTGATAAACAAGTGTACGTTACTCAACCAGATATTTACTGTTGCTTATCTTAATCCATCAAAATATATACATGTTAACACCCTCCAATCATTTAAGATGACAAAATATGCGAGCGATGCCTTGGTGCCGCGTCAGGGGTATTATTATTATTATTGTTATTATTATTATTCCAAATAATTATAGTGTTGTTGCGAGCAAAATAACGCTTCGATGATTAGGTTTCTATCTTTCTTAACTTATTCCAGGAGAACCTCGGTATAGTATCCATTATTATGACTATAGGATTGTGATTAACAATCTGTATATCAATGATAAATTTGCATTTTCAGCACCCGTCCAATTTCAATCCATGTATTTACTTTAGGAACATTAATGGCGTACGGGAGGGGCGTTGATCTTTGTCGAGAAATGAAATGATCGCGCAGGAGATTTAGCAACTAATTGGCATGAACGCATGTGCAAAAAGAACGCATTAATTGGATTTTGTATAATCGCTTCCTGGTCGTCAATTTTGACACGAACCTTTCAGAAATATAGCACAACGTGGGATATATATATATATATATATATATATATATATATATATATATATATATATATATATAATGATAAGGAGAAAGAGAGCTGAACAGATTGAGATAGACAAATAGATGAATCTGAATAATAAGAAAGATGTGTATATATATATATATATATATATAGAGAGAGAGAGATAGAGAGAGAGAAAAGAAAAGAGATTGCTCTGAACAGATAGATAGATACATAGATCTGAATAAAATGAAATATATATTTAGTGAGAGAGAGAGAAGAGTGTGATCTGAACAGATTGACATAGATAGATAGATAGATAGATAGATAGATAGATAGATAGATAGATATGCATAAAAGAATATAGTGGGGATAGGAGAAACAGATCTGAACAAATTCAGATATTAGGTGGTGCAAAAATAATGACGTAATAATGTCGTTTTTGACGTATTTTTTAACGTCAAAAAACGACATTATTACGCCATTATTTTTGCACCAACCTAATAGATCGCTAGATATGAATAGAATGAGACAGATCTGAACTTCTTAAAATATCAATATATATATATATATATATATATATATATATATATATATATATATATATATCAAGGGGCTGTCAAATTTCTCTAAACCCCCAAAAATGCTCCACGATACTAAACATCTAGACTTGACTTTTGACCGGTCCCTGTAAATTAGATTGTCTAGAAAGCAATGGTGTTTTGGCATTATTATTATTGACATATTTATCTATAGTTAAACAATGCATGAATCCGTTATAATAAAATTACTATAGGAAATAAGGGAATAGGCTGGTCTACGGTCATTTCGCCCATCAGCTCAAGTTGCTAGACAAACAAAATATTAGCATAAAAACTCGAGACACTTTCTAAAAGAGCCTCGTCAGATCTAGACGTTCTTATGTAACATTACGCATTACGGGTATCTCGCGTTGAAACACCGATTCTCGTGTCAGAGTTATCTCCTCCTTAATTCTGACACCACAATTTGGGGTAGCCATCCCTAAACTATATATACTTGAGAAAACCCTCTCGTACGATCCCCGAAGTTAAGCAACGTCGTGTCTGGTCACTATCTAGATGGGTGACCGTTTGGGAATACCAGATGCTGTAAGCTTTGATGTACGACTGACTGCTATATAGGAATAACGTGTCACTGCCGTCACTTGAGTTTGAACATAGATCGCAAGTCAGCGAATACAGGCGATCCCATTATTGAATTGAGTAGACCACGTGACCATAGAGGAAATACATATATGGGAGTTAGTGTGTGTCTAATGGATCTCTATTTCTTGTCTATCCTCTATACTATAAGGATCGCTATATGGATTACTTTTTGAGCGAGTATTATCGAGCAAGTACTATTAGTGCGAATGATATTCGAAGGCGTCTGACACCAGTATTGTTCAACGACGTTACCATAGTTGTGGCTGCGATTACAAAGTCTCTACTACAACGAGCATTACGAAAGTGAAAGCGAGTATTCATTGACATTAAACAAGTGTCAAGCGGCGTGTATTTATTTAATATGAACCCCAAATTGACAGGAAGTGACCCACTCACTTGATCACATGAGTTTATAAGGAATAAGACATGCAAAATCCAGCTATGAAATTGCAACAGACTGACGCTCTGTTAAAAATTCGAGTGACGCCTTCTGTAGTATGTCCTTCATGCGTAGCCCTCTTCATCCGCTGGTTCATCCGTTGAGATCTGTTGTAATCATAATCGGCTTTTTCCGCCGTTGGAGGTCTTTGGAGTTGGTCGCGCTTAGTCTGGGTCCACGATTTCGATTTTGCCACCAAGATTGGCCCTATGACAAGTTTAGAACTCGCGACAGCATCGCTTTCGGAATCATTGGTCTCTTAATAATGGATTACTAATATCAGTTATGTGCCATGCGTAATACAAGCTTAGGCGATCATGATCAGATTTTTTTCCTCTTTTTCTTCCATTGACAGTTTAGAGGCCTTTACTAATATATGGGTAGGAATAATTCTGAATAGGTCTTTTGAAATAAAATGGAAGTTTTATTTTTCATATATCATTTACATTCTTCGTTAATTTTGGTAAAAAAAAAAACGCATTTATTTAATGAAAATATTACAGAAATCACAGATTTTGACGAGTATGAATAGTTTCATATATATATATATATATATATATATATATATATATTGTCGGACTTTGTCCATTTCTTAATATATGACGTCATTTTTTTACATTTGATACGCCAGAGCAGTTATGAATGTACGAGATTCATGGAATATTGAAGTTTATAAGCAGTAAATTCGACCTTGCCTACCGAATGCTCCTTTGTGGCCGAGACGTTTAAGGCACGTCTGCGTAAATGACGGTTCCGTATAGGATGCGGGTTCGAATCCTGTCAAAGGACGAATATTTTCTATGAAAATTTCTCGGACATTCAGGCCGGTAAATGTTATTTAATACTGTTTATTATAAACAGAGCATTTACTTAAATAGTTGTATCTATAAAAAAGAACGTTAAACATATATATATGTTGTTTTCCTGCTTGTTTCGTTGTTGCTTTTTTTGCTTTAGTATTTTCATTCTTTTTTGCTCACATTCTTGCGTTTTTTCTCTCTTTCTTAATTTTTTTCTGGCTTGCTTTCTAACTGAGATGCTTTCTTTCTTTCTTTCTTTCTTTCATTCTTTCTATCTTTCTTTCTTTCTTTCTTTGTTAGTTTCTTGGTTTCTGGCTTTCTACTTTCTTTCTTTCTTTCCTTACGGATTGCTTGCTTCTTTCTTTTCCCTCGTGTTTACTTCCATTTGCTGAAATATATATATATATATATATATATATATATATATATATATATATATATATATATATATATATACGAATCAATTTAATATGTAGTTTATTTTTTGTTTTATTTTTAATAGAATTTTAGTCTAGGTTAAAAGCTTTTCACATATTCTATTGTTTGGTATAAATTTCGATGAATTTTTTTATAGTTTTAAATACGGAATAGATTTTGATCAGTGTTACCAAGTAAATGCCATACATTCTATGAATGGTGACAGATTTTAGTGTTCTTTCTTTATTCAGTTACAAAATGGAATTAACAGTGAACGATTATGACAGGAATTAAGAAAAAGGAATCAATTGAATTTCGCTCTCTCATCGCAACTGCAATTGCATCAAGTTTTTTTTTTAATTCATTTTCCTCCTGAAACTATATTGGCTGTTTGGAGGCCATTTTATTTTTATTCTTTAAATTATTATTATTTATTATTATTATTCAGATTTTTCTTCTTCAGATTCTTCTTCTTCAAATTTTTGAAAATCTCGTTCAAATTCTTTATCTTCAAATTCTTCATTATCACTTCTAAAATTCTTCTTTGAATTCTTTCAATACTTCTCCTTCTTCTTCAAATTCTTCTTCAAATTCTTTCAATACTTCTTCTTCGAATTCCTCTTTGAATTCTTTCAATACTTCTCCTTCTTCTTCAAATTCTTCTTCAAATTAATTCAATACTTCTTCTTCGAATTCCTCTTTGGATTCTTTCAATACTTCTCCTTCTTCTTCTTCTTCTTCTTCTTCTTCAAATTCTTCTTCGAATTCCTCTTCAAATTCTTTCAATACTTCTTCTTCAAATTCTTCTTCGAATTCTTTAATACTTCTCCTTCGAATTCGTCTAAAATTCTTGAAATTTTCGTTCAAACTCTTCTTCGAAATATTCTTCAATTTTTTCCTATTCAAATTATTTTTCGAATTCATCACCATACTCTCAAAATTCTTATTCAACATTAAATTCTACTTCAAATTCTTAAGCTTCAAAATCTTTCTCAAATACCTCTTCACTATCACTTCTAAAATTTTTCTTTTTCAACTTCTTCAAATGCCTCTCCTCCAGGTTCTTCTTCTTCTTCTTCTTCTTCTTCTTCTTCTTCTTCTTCTTTAAATTATTATCGTGATGCTATATCCATATTTTCCTTCTTTCTTTGCTTTGGGTTTCTTCTCGGTCTTTCTCTCTTGTTATCTTTTTCCTTTTTTTTTTCTTCTCGACTTTCTCTTCAATCATTCTCTCCATCATTCACTCAAAACTTTCCTTCTCAACATCTTTCCTCTTTCGCTTTTAATTATTCTTACGTTTTGGTTTTCTCACAGAATTCGATGTTCCTAACCCCCTGGGGCAACTACGCTTTTTCACATTTAAAATTGAGCATCAATTCATTTTCCTTCATAAAGCCAACATACTGAGAATCCTATCAAATACAATCAACTTCAAACAAATGATTACCAGTAACTGTGTCAAGATTATTGAAAGTAACACCATTTAGCTGAAATCCATTATTAGAAATCGCACATGAGAAATTTTAGAATCTCTTGCTGATGTCGTATTGAACTTTGATACGAATGTCTTGGCACATGCCTCGTTAAATGAATGATTTTGGTGGAAATGAAAGAAAGAGCTGAAAAGAATTCGTATTAACAGTTTCTTGGTTTAGTTGAAATCCTTCCAGCCCACTCGACTGTGAAATAAGAAAATAAAGAGCTATTAATGGGGTTTATAAAAGAAAGAAACAATAAAGTTTGAGCAAATGGGAGTAAACAAGAGGGAAAAGAAAGAAGAAAAGAAAAAAGAGCATAAAAAGAAAAGGAGGGAAGAAAGCAAATAAAAAAGAAAGAAAATACTAAAGCGAGTCAGCAAAAAAGACAGCCAGCAAACAAGACAAAAAAAAAACAAAGAAGGCAAGCAAGCAATCCATAAGGAAAGAAAGGAACAAATAAAGTAGAAAGGTCGCAACAAAGAAAGAAAGAAAGAAAGAAAGAAAGAAAGAAAGAAAGAAAGAAAGCATCTCAGTTAGAAAGCAAACCAGCAAAAAATTAAGAAAGAGAGAAAGAACGTAAGAAAGTGAGCAAAAAAGAAAGAAAGAAAGAAAGAAGAGGAAAACGGAAAAAAATGAGAAATAGACAATAGAAAGGAGGCAAAATAGTATGATGGTTGAGGAAAAGAAAGAAAGAAAGAAAGAAAGAAAGAAAGAAAGAAAGCGGCTCAGAAAGAAAGAAAGAAAGCGGAAAGAAGTTAGAAAGAAAGAAAGAAAGAAAGAAAGAAAGCATCTCAGTTAGAAAGCAAACCAGCAAAAAATTAAGAACGAGAGAAAGAACGTAAGAAAGTGAGCAATAAAGAAAGAAAGAAAGGAAAGAAAGAAAGAAAGAAAGAAGAGGAAAACGGAAAAAAATGAGAAATAGACAATAGAAAGGAGGAAAAATAGTATGATGGTTGGGGAAAAGAAAGAAAGAAAGAAAGAAAGAAAGAAAGAAAGAAAGAAAGAAAGCGGCTCAGTTAGAAAGAAAGAAAGAAAGAAGCAAACAAGAGACCCAACAAAAAGAGAGAGTAAGTCAAGTAAGCAAGTCCACAAAAAAGAAAGAAAAAATGCAAGAAACCAAGCCAGCAAAAAACTAAGAAAGAGAGAAAGATTCACATGAAAGTATACGAAAAGGAAAGACGGAAAATACTAAAGCTAGCCAGAAAGAAAGAAAGAAAGAAAGAAACAAACAAGCAAGAAAGTTAGCAAGGAAGACAGAGTATGACAAGTAAGCACGCCCGCAAGAAAGAAAGAAAGAAAGGACGTAAAAAAAAAACAAGCAAAAAAAATGGCAAAAAGTAAGAACGCAAGAAAGCAAGGAAAATTTTTTTTTAAAAATACAAAAACAAACCAGCCCGCAAACAAGAAAGAGAGGCAAGCAAACAATCCATAAAATGAAAATAAGAGAGAAAGAAAGAATATCGAAACGCCACCCGCACGAAAGATGAAAGCTAGCAACAGGAAATAAATGCAAGAAAAAAGAACGACTGTTGCACGTTTTTTTTCTTTTCTTCTCTTTCATTTTAATATTTTGCGTGTCTGTTTTTTTTTTTATTATTTAACCCCAAGCAAGGCGATAAAACCCCCAAGACGCAAGTGATGACCGAATGCGAAAGATACAGAGAAAAACATTATTAAAGATCCAGGACAATAAAAGAAAAAAGATTTAAGGAGGCAAAAGACGCCGATTGTATTTACATTTTTGAAAACAAATATTGATTGGAAATCAAAAACCCGGAAGAGAATTCCACAAGCGAGAAGTGCGAGAGAAGAAAGTCTTAGTATAGAACTTACGGTTACATCCGGTAAAATGATGAGACCTTGCCACCAAATAAGTTTAAATTCGCAAGGTCAAAGTACCAAAGAGGAAGGCCCATTAGAAGAATTACCATCAAATTGTATATAGAAAAGTCACAGGGAAGCGACATTACGACGGTGACGAAGTGACTAAAACCCGGATAGCATTGCAGATTCTTCTTTGGATTTTGAAATGAATGTCTAAATAGACAGCAGAAGCACCAGACCAGATGTGACAAAAATATACAATGCATGGAAAAATGGCAATCTTATATAGAAGGTCAAGAAAAATTGGGCAAGAAAAATTGTACTGTACGATACAATGAATCAAATTTTCGAGGAAGAGACCGAACAATTGATTCAATATAATGTCGTTAGCCCGAGAAAAAGCAAGGAGTTACTATAATTGAGGTTAGCTTCAGCCATGAAGATGCAAGACAAAAAAGGTTCTCTAAGACAATTAAAGAATGCAGATTCGTTTTTTTGGCCGTGAGCAAAAAAAATGGAAAGGGAAAAAGTATTAAAAGTTTGAATCGATTTTTTCTTTTAAGAATAATTCAGATTAAATTTTCTGATCAGTAATTCTCAGTATACGTTGATTAATTCGAACTTATATTTTTAAGTTGACGATTACCAATGCTATCAGAGTCAAATAGCCAATGAATAGGAAGACAAAAAGAATATCCCTATTTAAGTACAGCTGGTCACTCGTATTACGAGAATACCCATCTACTAGGGCAGCGAGACAATCCCTATTGTAGACACTTGCTCAGGCGCATTTGTGTTTTTTCGACACCCACAGAACCCATCTGTGGTTTATACTGCAACTATGCTGAGCAGACCTTAGTTACAGTTTCAGGGAAAGAGCGTGTTATCTAGCGGGATCAACAATTTGAACAAGGTCAGCAACGCTCAAGCCCTCGGCGACTTCTTGCTAGCACAGCTATCGACGGGTTATGTCTATCCAATTTCAATCAAGAACTTTCCAAAGGTGCTAGGACCGACCTCAATTTCGATCAGATTTCCTGACAAATCGACCATGGTAAGATTCGAACCCAGGTCTCGTGGTCAGAATGCAAACGTTCTAACCAGTCGGCCACGTACCCATAACAATATTTAAGATAATTAAAAATAGCTAGTTTATCATGACAAGCCCTTAATTAAAAAGTTTATCATGATTAAAAGTTTATCATGATAAATATATAATATATATATAATTTATTTATATATATATATATATATATATATATATATATATATATATCAGGCTAGTTGTCCACTTCAGTGATTGTTCAGAAACGGAACTAGTGTCGGCCATATTGTATATGTATGAATATAATACATGCTTCTGCTTTTTAAGCAGGAATATCGCTTTTGCAGACAGAAGTCACTAGACTATACTAAAATTTGTCTCTGTTATTACAGAAACCCTCTTACCAAGTTGTAACAATAGCCATGTGTGGCAAATCAAAAACAAATACCAAATGTTTTGCAGGACAATTTTTAAGGCAAACAATGACATAGCCAATATTTAGCAAGACAACTGACAAGGTTTATGCAAGCCAATGACAAATAGCCAATATTCAGTAAAACAAATGGCCAATGTTTAGCACGACCAATCGCCAGGTTTAAGCAAATCAATTTTCAATTGCAATGATCAACAAAACAAAAACAAACAGCCAATATTTAACAAAACAAAGAAATATGACCAAGGTGTCGGAGTTAGCTCCTCCTTAATTCCCTAATTATTTACTAGGGGTCGCTCTCCCCACACTATAAATACTGGGTGACTTCTCGCCTCGTTCTCTTTCAATTCTTCATTTCAGCGAACACCTCTACGATGTGAGCTCTCGCAAAAGATAGCGTTTCCCATTTGTGGGAGACGCCATGAACATTATACACACATACACGTACGTACGAACATTCACCAAAGAACAGACACAAATGTTCACACACGCACGGAAATTTTAATGTCTATGTCCATTGTAAAATTGTGTTGTATAATACATATATTTGTTGATATATATATATATATATATATATATATATATATTTGTTTTATATATATATATATATATATATATATATATATTTTTATATATATAAATATATATATGTATATATATATATATATATATATTCATACACGTTTCATTAAATAATATAGACAAGTGTTGTCTATTTATTTTATGTAAATTTTTTTCATAAAGTCTGATAAGTTTAATAACATTATCGTTGAACGAAGAAAGAAATTCACAATATTGATCCATATTTTTAAATACAATCTAAGCTTTCGGCTTACATAAGCCATTATCAAAGATGTCAATTACAACATATTAAGCAATATACGGACAAGACAGTGATGATAGTCTGTCATTGTTTATATAGATGATTTCTAAGCAACGATAAACACGTGCATATAAGACGCTAGAAGCGAAAATCGCACCTAAAGATGAAAAGATGCTGCCTAAATACACACACACACACACACACACACACATATATATATATATATATATATATATATATATATATATATATATATATATATATATATATATCGATCTTGTTTGTTTTCTTTTCATCTTCGATTGGACACAATTAGAGTCCGCCATTTTCTTGTAGTTGGATCTTTCTAGCAGGAAATAAATGCACGTTTCTAATACAACAAAACTCAAACACACACGGTCCTCTACAAAGGTTTAGCAAGACTAATCGCATGCTGTATGCAAAACTAAGATAACCAATTTTGATCAATAGAAAGACAAATGAGAAAAACAAACCCAACTAGAAAATGTTTATGAATACAACGAAAATTCCTCATTACTATGAAAAAATAAAGACAAATAGCCAATGTTTAACGAGACAAAGACATATCGGTAATATCTAAAAGACAAGATAAATAGCCAGGATTAACTTAAACAAATCTAAATAGGCAATGTTTAGTATAACAAAGACATGTAGTCAGTGTTTATCATAACAATGACAAATAAACAATGTTTTCTAAGACAAACTCCTAAATCTTAGACTAATTTCAAAAGTTTATCAAAAGAAAGACACGTTATCTAAGTTTAAATGTCTTCTTAGTTTCTACGATAAATATTTAAAAATTTCTATTTTTATAACAGAAATTTCATATGATTAAATGTTCAGTTAATTTCCCAGAACAAATTGGTATATGATGACAATTTCTCTTGTCCACAGAATTGATCTGGGAATTTAACTATATTGTTGACATGGAAAAAAAAAAAAAAAACTCTTAGAATAAATTAACCAGAAAAGGGCTTATGCAGAAGCCTCCATCTTTTTTAAAATTTGGATTTTGTTATGTAACTATAACAACAAAAACGTTTCGATTTCATTTTTGCCTTGAAAAAGTCGGTAGACGAAACGCGTCGGTAAAAAAACAAGATTTTTTTCCATCTTATACCAAACTAGCAGTAGAGTAGATGTAACAGTAAGAGATAGAACAAGTATCAACCATCATAAAGACTGAAAAATAAAATTGACAAAGATTATTGTTTAAGGTTGACGGACACGCATGTCTTAAATAGTTTGTTTTTTTTACGAATTGGTCAAACTCAAACAAAAACATTGTTTTCAATCGTTATGAGTCTATCGATTGAATAGAATTTTATCATAAACAATTGTCTTGTAAATGGAATTTTAAAGCATTCTGAATGTAAAAATAAAGAAAAAACGTGTGCAAGACAGTAAGAAACACTACCTGCAAAAAAAAAGTAAAATTTTATTGAAATCGGTTGAAAAATGTAGGAAATCCGATCCCATATATAAACGAACACACACACACACAAACAACCTGGGTTTTATAATAAGTATAACTCGATTTGAGTTGTCCCCCTTTCATTCTGGCGACAAAATCGTGTTTTATCGTGTTTTCAAATTGATTTTGTGCAAAAACAATTGTGTTTTTCCAATTTTTGGCACTGTCAGAACTACCGCAAGGTAATTTTACGTAGTCCTGTGAAGTTTTGTTGAAATCGGTTGAAAAATGTAGGAAATCCGATCCAATATATAAACGTACACACACACACACACACACACACACAATCTGCGTTTTATAATAAGATATATGTTTGCAAAGATAGACTTACTAATTATCAAATTATGTTTTATATATCATAATCTGCATCAAATTTCATAATAATGAAAAAAAACTTATTTGTACTGAGTGAACGAATAAGCTATACTTTTAGTCCGATGACTGAATTTCCAAATCTATAAATCAGCAAAAAGATAACAAAAAAAAAGAAAAAAAATCTCACGTTTTTCAATATACTTACTAAAAATTCATTGTTCTTTCTAAAATTACATCACTTCGAGCGGAAGTGATTCACCTTTAAGAAATGTCTGCCGTGAAGAACCGGAAGTAAGAGGCTGGAGTGTTGGCAGGATAAGTTTTATTTTCATGCCGCTAACAAATGTTATCAGGGAAAGCGTAAGAAGAAGCCGGATTACATCGAAGTACTTCTTACTCTCCAAAAGTTATGCCTTTTCACTTTTCACCTTAAGTATTTCTTTTTAGATATCTTCATAAAATTCTATAAATGACTGCGATGTGAAATATATCGATGCGCGCGCAGCCTTGCCGAGTTCGTATTACAATAATGACCGTTGCGTTCTTCGTTCGCTTTCGCAATAATACCATCCCTTATTGCCACTTAACCTCAACCACCCATCTCGGGTTAAATAGAAGGGTAGACT